TCTTCTGACATCCATTTTGACCTTTTCCTTCTTTCTTGTCTTCTTAATGACTTTTTGCTTTCTTCCTGTATGATGTTCTTGATGTCAACACTTCACTAAAGGCCAAAGACCAACAACACTTCTGGTCTTTGGCCTTTAGTGTTTAATGTATCAAATCTGTTCTTCAGATGATTGCTAAATTCAGGTGGGATATATTCAAGGTCATATTTTGGCTCTCGTGGACTTGTTTTTATTTTCTTCAGCTCCAGTCTGAATTTGCATATGAGTAATTGATGGTCTGTTCCACAATCTGCCCCTGGCCTTATTTTGACTGATGATATGGAGCTTTTCTTTCCACAGATGTAGTCAATTTGATTTCTATGTATTCCATCTGGTGAGGTCCATGTGTATAGTCATCTTTTATGTTGTCTAAAAATGGTATTTGAGAGGAACAAATCATTGATTTTGAAGAATTCTATCATGCAATCTCCAGCATCATTTCTATCACCAAGGCCATATTTTCCAACTACTGATCTTTCTCTGTAATGATCATTTCTCAATTTTATGGGTCACCAAATATTGACTTATGCTTAAATAGTTTTTACTTCCATAGAATTAATTTATTTTATACAGATAAGGGAAAGTAGTTCTATGATTCCATGTTACAAATGGGGAACTGAGGAAGGAGTGACTCTTGCCCAAGAATGTTGCAGAAGTAATAAACAAACACCTGCTTAGCAGAAGTATATTGATTTGGTTAAGCCTTTCTAGAGATAGAACCATAGCTTCTAATATTTTAGGATGATCATCTTGGATTTAAAGTTCAGAGACTGTACATCTTGCATCTCTCCCAACTGACTTCCTGTACAATTACACTGGGAAAGTTCTACATAAAAATTACATTAATTTCTCTTCTGATAATTATCGTAAGCTATAAGTACAAGGGTTTGTTCACTACAGACACTGAAGAAGTGTAATCACTCAAGTATCAACTATTTCCACCCAATCATCTTGTTAATTGCTTTACCAAAATAGTCAAGTCTACACATTTCTAGTGTGGCTAATCATATTCTGCTATTGGGAATGTATGATCTGAAAAAAATATACTTACAATGAGCCAAGGTCAAAGTTTGTGGATTAGACCCCTTGCCTGCTTGTTGGAATACTGCCAAGACTGGGGAGTTGCAAAAAATATTTCTGGTCGTAATTTCTCACTTTGTGAGTAAGTTGCTAGGTTCATCAATCTATCAGTAAAGCAGTGGCAATATTATACCCTTAGTTGAGTAAGTTCTGGCTTTGAAAATATGAGAAACATTGCTTTTCCCCTACGGTCAAAGCCCCTTTCACTTTAGAGGACATTCATGTCAGAATTTCAAATTACTTCAGATAGGATGGTAATATACAAAGAGTCCTCATTTAATTATTGAGAAGGAAGTGGGGAGGAAAAAAACAAAAAATCCATTCTCAAATTCATATAATTTCATTGTACATTTTCCCTCTTTAATTATTACTTTCAAAATTGATTTGATGATACTATATCAAGCTGCCAAAAAAGTAGAAGCATTCCTTCAAGAGCAAAGGTGTTTAAAAAACAAGATAGATAAGGGAACACTGAGACAGGTTTGCAAAGGTCTAGTGGGACAGAGATAAATAGTGATGCATATTCAATTTTGGAACAACAAGGCTCTGGGATACAGGGATCTAGGTATAGCTTGAA